ATATATATATATATCCATCCATTTTCTTTACCCGCTTATTCCATTTTGGGTCACGGGGGTCGCTGGTGCCCATGTCCAGCAATCACTGTGCGAGGGGCGGGGGACACCCTGGACAGGTCGCAAGTCCATCACAGGGACACATAGAGACAAACGAGACAAACAACCATTTACTCTCTCACTCACACCTAGGGACAATTTAAAGTTACCAATCAGCCTAACATGCATGTTTTTGGTCTGTGGGGGGAAACCGGAGTACCCGGAGAAAACCCACGCATGCATGGAGAGAACATGCAAACTCCACCCAGAAAGGCCCCTGGACTGGGGTTTGAACCAAGGACCTGCTCCCTGAGAGGCAGCAGCTCTACCAGTTGCGCCACCGTGCTGCCCGTACACATGTATATATAAATTGTTATTCCTTTATGCCAGCAATAATATTTCTTTTGGAAACTTTATATTTTAGGTGTTATTGTTTTAAAAGAAAACTTGTATTTCTAAAAAAACCAAACAATTAAAAACAAAAACAAAAAACAAAAAAAAAAAACAAGGACTCTTATAGAAATAAGCAAAAACTTTTTGTGTTTTAATTTTTTTTTTTTTTTTTTTTTATTTTTTTTTGTTTTTAAAATTAAAAATTGTGTTTTAAAAAAAAAAAAAAAAAAAAAAAAACACTGAAGGCCTCCAACTGAAATATTGTAAACAAATACTTCATGTATGTTTTATTGTTGTTGTTTTTTTAAAAGTATTTTAAAATACTTTCATTCCATTTTCATTTTATTTTCAGTTGGATGTAATTGGGACCCTGTGTACATATTTTCGTTCCACCTCATGCACCACATGTGATGTGAACGACAAGAAAGATCCTTGAATCCTTGAATGTACAATTTATTTTTGTTTATTTATTAAGTTGAGCTGTTTAAAAAAACTTTTACAACTCAATAAATTATAAAACAATTTTTTTTCCTCAATTGCTTTCTTCAAATATTTACTTCATGGGAAAAATAAGGAATCATATCAATATTTTGAAAGGTCTGAGCGGAAGTAGTCTTTTATTTTGAAAAATGTAAGCGGAAGCAGAATAGCAGCACTAGCAGACACTTGACGCTGGTGAGTAAACGTGTCGGTTATTATCGTTGCATTAAAATGATGCTAAGCGCTTTGCGTGGACCCGACCGTCTTCACCCACCTCACAGCGGTTCTTACCGCCCTCTGGACCCACAGTGACGGCTTCACTCGCCGGGAACACCCTGCCTGTGGACTCACGGTCCGACTGAGAAAACCTGCCCGGACCGGCGGGAGATGATGCACTCCGGTGCGGGGCACGACGACAGGGGGTTTGGGGGAGACTTTGTGGTGCACGAACAACAGGTCGCAGGGATCATCCCTTGTGTTTGTGATGATCAAAGCACCGCTGTGGGCGTGATGTGGCGGCAGAGCTGTGGACACCTGCTCCGGGCAGTCCACTGAAGAAACCCGCGTGGAGCAGGTGCGTTCATCATGACACTTCCACACACATTTGTAATTTACAAGATAATTCTGATCAAGCATGCAGTGTCACCCAATGTGATGTAAGGGGTGGCTGAAGTGATATTTAATCTGTTAGTCTTAGCATTTACAGGAAAAAACATGACCCATTAAGTGTATTTCCTGCTGCACTCAAATGCACCATGATAATAAACATGATAAACGACATCAGTCCTATTTCTAAATCTCTCGCTGCTGAAACAGTGATTGCATTTCATATAAAGATGCATCCTAACTCAGACTGGCTCTTTGTGCCATACTTACATGCTTTCTTCTTAATAAATTAGGTGCTGTACCTGGGTCCCAGTTCCTGCATGTTGAGCACCACAACCCCAGTAGATCCTTGAAGGACAGCTCTTTCTTTCTAATGTTTAGATCTAGGTTGATCTAGGAAAAAAATAAAATAGTTTTTTTTTTTTTTTTTTTCCATGTCAGTGGATTCATGAGGTTTGTATCTCCCAGAGTGGCATTTTAATGTCAAGCCAAGCTCAGTGCTGGTGAAATTTAATATCCCACATGGGTGTTCCACTGTGACAATTCTATTTCCAGAGCCATTACCTCATTCTATATCCGCTGTGTGGGATATTTTGGGAAAAGATGTCGAAGCAGGGAACTTGTTTGGGAAGTTCAGCTTAGCAAAAGACAGCTACAGTGAAGAAGTTCAGAGTGGGGGATGAATAGTTGTTAAATTAACTAAATAAATATACGCAGGGGGATTGTCTAGGGGACTACTCAAGCAATGCTTTGCTGGTGTTCTCTAATAAATTAAAGCAGCAACAGTATTTTAGGAGAGCACTGACAGGCTGGGAGGATAAAGCTTTTACAAGTCTGAGGTTTACAGCTCAAAGTATTCAGAGTCCACCATATTCAAGTCCAATACCTCTTTCAGTGACTGCAATCACTGCGTTCAATTTTGTTTACATTTTACCCAACTTTTGGGGAACTGGTGTTGTATGTTTTACACCAAACCTGGGAACAAGTTTGATCGCCATAGCTGGTCAATGTTAGTAACCAGTGTAACCTAAGGCTTAGGAAAAATGGAAAAATAAAATATAAAATCAAATAATGATTCTATTGTTTAAATGAAATGCATATTTAGTCCAAAAGAACAATTGACAGAAGCTTTGGGGAACTGGGGTTGTTTTCTGTCGGCTGCATTTCTGTGCGCTGCTGCTGCCTTCTCAATGTGTTGCTCAGCAGATTTGTTGGAGCTGAGAATAATCCTAATACTTTGGTGGAATTCAGATGTCTAAGCTGAACCTGAGGGATGTTTTCACTTTTATCCAGCCTGCTGATTTGAGTGTAATTTAATCTGACTGAAAGATGTACTTCCCCTCTCTCTTTCTTTGTGGCTTCTAGGTGCAGGATGGACATAGGTGCCTGTTTTCGCTACTACTTTCAGCACCCGTGGTCGCGTCTCATCGTGGCCTACCTCGTCACATTCTTCAACTTCCTCATCTTTGCCGAGGACCCCGTCTCCCACAGTCAGACAGAGGCCCACATTATTGTGGTGGGCAACTGCTTCTCCTTCCTGTTCAACAAGTACCCAGGCCTCGGGTGGAACGTCCTGAAAGTGATGTGCTGGACGCTCGCCATTATCACTGGCCTGTTAGCTGGGAAGTTTATATTCCACCGCCAGCTCTTCGGTAAGTCATACGCAGTGTGCAGAGTGATGGCCTCAGAAACCTCCTCTTTCTCTCTTATTGTTGCTATTGATTAGCGAGAAGCAGCTTGTACGGTCTTCTATTTCTTTTTATGAATTGTGATGTAATTAAACATCATTTTTTCCTCCATGTTCAGTCTTTGCACCTTAACTCATTGTTCAAGCTGTTTTCAGCTTTTCTCCACACGTCTTGCAAGCTCTGTATGGAAGTTTCTTGATGTATGCATTTTGCTCTATATTTTTTAATATATACAGTATAACTAGAGCTTCACCTAACACTCTATGATTAAATATTTTTGCTGCAGAGGTGTGTAACTGAAATGATAAATTAGTTCATCCATCTCACCTTATGCCAATTTTGTGTCGGTGTGTGTGTGTGTGTGTGTGGGGGGGGGGGCAATGCTCACATGTTGAACTCTAAAAAAAACTACATCCTATGCAGGATCTCAGTGACAATACTGACTTTGACAAACAAGCAATATTTGTTGCACTGGGGGCTGAAAATGTCTTTGTTGTAACTTCCATTTTTCAGAGTCAGTCTGAGTGTTTGCCAGTGGTTGACTTGTTCCTTCCTTAGATAGAGAACTTTTACTAATTGGCTTTTGTATGAATGTAGGTCAGAGCATCCTTGATGCATCCATACATTTCTATGCTGATGACACACTTGTTTATTGTCAAGCTAAAACAGTTGATAAGGCTCTCCAGCTTTTGCAAACCGCATTTGACATCATCCATTCAGATTTGTTCCACCTCAAATTTGTCTTAAATGCCGATAAAACTAAAGGGATGCTTTTTTCAAACAGGAAGTCAGTCCCAGCAGTTCTTCCTCTGATTTTATCCTCAAATGGTGTCCCTATTGAGTTTGTTGATCCCTATAAATATTTGGGTATCTTGGTCGACTCTTTTAAGCTCCATATGGAAAACCTAGTAAAGAAACTGAAAGTTAAACTGGGTTTCTTTTTCAGAAACAGATCCTGTCTAACTCTGAATGCTAGAAAACGCCTTGTAACTGTGACTTTCCTTCCCTCCATTCATTACGGTGACATTATTTACATGAACGCTCCTACAAGAACCCTGCAGATGTTGGATGCTGTCTATCATGGTGCACTAAGGTTCATAACTGGCTGTGATTATCGTACCCACCACTGCACCCTGTATTCACTGGTTAACTGGACATCATTAACTTCACACAGACTCTCTCACTGGTACATTTTCATCTTTAAATCACTTCTCGGTCTGCTGCCTTCATACATCTCCTCCTACATGTCTCTGCGTGAGTGCAGCTACAGCGTGCGCTCTCAGGACATTATTACCTGCAGCGTTCCCTCAGTGAGGACTGAACTAGGCAAAAGGGCCTTCTCCTACTCCGCTCCTGTTTCCTGGAATATCTTACAAAAAGATTTGAAGCTCTCGACCTTGAATCTTCCTTGAAGAATCTGTTGAACTCCTGGCAAGAACCAATACAGACATGTTCCTGTTTTTAGTTTTAGCCTTATAATCTAGCTGTTTTTATTTACTTTTTTTGCCATCTTATTTTAATTTGTAAAAAAAAAAAAATCTGTATGCATTTTTATAATTGTTTATTGTTGTTGCTGTTGTCCATTGTTGTCATCTTTCTTTGTTGAAATCAGGTCTCTCTTGTAAATGAGTCCTCGAGGCTCAATGGGATTAACTGTCTAAATAAAGGTTGAAAAAAAAATGTTTATGGTCAGTGCCCTGAGATGACTTCTGTTGTGACTTGGTGCTGTATAAATAAACTGAATTGAATTGAAATTATAAATCTTACCGAGACCCAGAAGATGATGCTCAGAGAGTGGTGACCCCTCAGTCACAAAATCGTTGGTTACGTACTGTAACCCCAGATTCTATGAATATAGGCGTAGCCCTTTAAGGCTGTCGCTGATGGGTTTATCCCGTTATGCAGAGCATAAGCACTGAAAAAAAAAATTAGTCCACGCCCACCTGCTGTGTGGGCCCCACCCGGTCCGTATAAATTACGTTAAGAGCGGGAAATCGGCTCCCAAAATAGCTTTTTTCTTCAGCCATTTAGGAGCCAGTGAGGCCCGACGCTTAAAGGGCTACGCCTATATTCATAGAATCTGGGGTTACAGTACGTAACCAACGTTCTATTTCATATAGGCTTCGCCCTTTAAGGCTGTCGCTGATGGGTTAAGGGCGAAGCGGATGTGGTCCTCGCCTCACTGGGTCCATTCGAACACAGTAAGAAGCGGAAGCTTGCCCAAAAAACGTCTTGTCACCCAGCTCCCCGTGTGCATAAACTACGCATCGCGTAATTATGTGCCATGCACAGACGCATGTTGTGTAACTATGCGTTCTGACAAGCATGAATACCCCGGAAAAACTTTCAACGGGAAGAGGAAGTTGAAAAGAGGGGGGGAGGGGGGCATGAACCAACTGGTTCATAGCTGAACAGTATAAACAGATTAATGTCCATGAATTGATAAATAATCAAATGAACTGATTGGTAACAATAATCATGAACTGATTAGTGACAATAGAACCAGAAACACAGACACGACTGTGACTGATAACAACATCTCACACTGTAATGCATGCAGACAGAAGTGAGCTTAAACAGAGTTCCATGAGAACAACAATATTCATTCTGTTAGAGCACTAAGGACAGAATGTGTCATGGAACGAGCCGTTACATCACGTAGGTAAAAGCGAATAAATGAGCAGGTTGTTGACCATGCAGCCGCAGTGCAAATGTCCTGCATTGACATACCATTATGCAGAGCAGTCGAAGATGCGATACCCCTGGTCGAATGTGCTTAGAGGTTGACAGGAGGCCCTAAATCTGATGCTCTGTAGGCTTCAGAAAAGGCCTCACACAGCCAGTGTGACAAGCGCTGGATGGATAACGGCGACCTGCAGAAGCATCTCTATAATGCACAAACAATTGTTGAATTTGAACGCATTGCAGCTGTGCGCGTTACGTAACACGTCAACGCCTGCACCGGGCAGAGAAGATGAACAGATGCTTCCCCTTCTGATCTGTGGGGGGGAAAAAACCCCTCCAACGATATCACTCTTGATTTAAAAGAGCTCGTGATGTTTTAGGCATAAAAGCTGGGTTGGTCTTAAATCAGCTGAGCTGCCCGTCAGCCTAATTCTAAGGCATGACGAAGCAACAGAGAGGGCAGATAAATACTTACCCTCTTAGCGGGTGTTAAAACCAGCAACAGGGCTGTTAAAAGAGACAAGAATTTAAATGAAACCTGATCCAGAGGCTCAATTGAAGCTTTGATCAGGGCTCGCAGGACCAGCGTTAAACCCACTGTGGAACAAGTGGGCGTGAAACAGGCCTACATCTCTGTACACCTTTTAGAAACCGCTTCATCAGCGGGTGATAAAAGCTGTTCTGTCTCCAAACCCTTTGTGGCAGGAAGAGATGGCTGCAATCGTACGTTAAAGCGTACTGAAAGCCAACTCCCTATCCATCAGCTGTTGTAGAAAAACAACACGCCGCCTAAAAGGCATGAAGTGGTCTCTAAACCTTCTCTGTACACCAGCGCTGAAAAGCCGTCCCCTTGATGTGTACAGAACTGTGGTAGATGCAGCACGTGAATCTTGAATTGTGCACACTATCTCCTGAGGGAGACCCATCCTCTAAGTGGAACCGCTCAGCGGTCAGACCCACCGGTGTTGACCTATTTCTGGGTAACTCTTGGTCGCTCCTCCTGCCTGAAGGAGAGCATCCTTCCTCCATGACAGTTCCACGGCGACCCAACAACAGACGTTGCAGGCCTGGGAACCATAGTGCGTTCACACGCCGGGAGCCACCAGGAGAGCTGTCAATCCCTCCTCTTGAACTCGGTTCATGGACCGTAAAAAACAGAGGAGGTGGGGGAAAAGAAACGCGTAAAAAGCGTTTTGGGCCACCGACTGTGAGCAAATGCGTCCCCTCCAGCGATGGATCGTCTCGCGGGCTCAGGGAAAACCGTAGTTGACATTGAGCGTTCTTCTCGCATCGCAAACAGGTCCACAGCTGCTTTGCCAACTTCTGCTGCGTCTGAAAACATCAGATCCGGATGGAGGATCCGGTCCACGTAACGTGGGCCGCCCTTGGACGTCACATCAGCCCCTCTGTTCAGAACACCGGATATGTAAACCGCTCTAATAAAAGCAGGTTTTGATGAACCCAACTCAGTAGCTTTCGCACAATGTGTAACATCTGGGCTGAACGCACACCCTGATGGTTATGTACGCAGCAGTCATCATGATGTCTGTGTGAATCAACACGTGTTGATTCTGTAGCACAGGAGCAAGGTGTTGAATCACATTCAGTACTGTGCGACACTCCAAAACATTGATGTGGGCTGATGTGTAGTGGGGCCACAGCGCCCCTACTGCTTGAGATAGGCATGTCCCCCCCCCAGCCTGACAGCAACGTGTCCGTGAAGACTGACCCATGACGTGGGTCTGCTGAGGGGGACTCCCTCTGATAGAAAAACAAGGTGTTTCCCCAGAGTCGGAGGTCTGCTTCCACAGAGGAAAAGACAATGATCATCCGTCGTTTGTTTTACTGGATCCACATGCAGACGTGCAAAAACACCTCTAGAGGCGTCTCATGTGATAAACGAGTTTTCATGGTGGTTGAATTTAATTCCACTCCAGAAAACAAATGTCTGGGCCGGGAAAATCGAGCTTCCTTCCACTTTATGGCGAAGCCCAGATTAACAGGTGTGATGTCAACACCTGATCCTGCATCAGCGCCTCCTGTCTGAAGTGACAGGATCCGCAGATCATCCAGGTAAAACAAAAAACTCTCGTCTCTGTGTTTTAGGATGATCGGTATGCGTTCTCTGGATGTTAAACAACAGATCCAAGAACGGTCTCACCCCTCCGATCCGTGAGTAAAACCCTCGTGTTTTCTCTCCCTTGGGGAACTCTGTAGATTACTTTTATCAGAAAACACTTGGATTTCTGCATTTAGGGAAGAGAATCAGTCTGATGATG